CCTGTGTTGTGCGATGTTGCGGAGGTCAGAAGAGGGCTTTGGATTCCCCTGGAAGTGGAGTTAAGGATGGTTCGCAGCCACCATGTGGGTGCTGGGAATCGAATCTGGGTCCTCTGCAAGAGCAGTCAGTGCTCTTACTGCTGAGGCTGTACTATTTTCACACCACGCTTCCAATGGACTCTCCACTGCTTCCTCCCCTAAAGCCCTCCTTAGGCCCATGGGGTTGGGTGAACTGCTGCCAGCACAGGTCTGTCTTGGGAAAGCCCTGCCCTCCATCTCACCTCGCCCTTGCTGGGTGGTTCCCAGAGGAGAGTGCAATGCTGTCCCAAGGCTTATGAAGGAACAATCACTCATTCCCCATGTCCTTCAAACATCAGCCAAGAGTTTGGCTGGAGTCTACCCTGTCTTTGTCCTCTTGCTTACCCAAATGGCACTGCTGTAGAGTACCTGCTGCCCACCCACCCTCCTAGCCCCTCCTCACCTCAGCCACCCACCACTGCATTCCTCCCACCCACTGCAGACTTTGCCTTATGGTTCCTGACCACCCTCTTCACCCCAAGTCCTACCATTAGCCCAGCAAGTTCCACACTCATATGAGCACCAGTTCATATGGCCTCTTCTTATTCCAGAAGCTTTCCCATTCCCCTGGGCTGCTCACTCTGTGACCCAGGGTTTATGACTGTCACAAACCTGCCCTGTCACCACAATCCCTGGGCAAGCCCCTCTGCCCACATCCCTCTCCCTCCAGGTGATGGGCCCGCTACAGTCACCAGCAGAGGGTTTTTTTTTTTTGGTGTTTTTGGTTCCTTTTTGCCTTTCTGAGCCCATCTGTGAATTTCAGCAGCTGTTTTTCTTGGTTCACCACCTCACGGACCTGAAGTACGTAGTCCAGTGTCCCACAAATGACCTTTTCCTACCCCTACCCCTACCCCTTTCCCTAACCCTAACCCTAGCTCTAACCCTAAACCTAACCCTAACCCTAACCCCTACCCCTAACCCTTTCCCTAACCCTAACCCTAACCCCTACCCCTACCCCTTTCCCTAACCCTAACCCTAAACCTAACCTAACCTTAACCCTAACCCTAAACCTAACCTAACTCTAACCCTAACCCTAACCCTAACCCTAAACCTAACCTAACTCTAACCCTAACCCTAACCCTAACCCTAACCCTAACCCTAACCCTAACTTCTGTTTTCTGTTTTGCTTTAATTCTTTCTGGCAAAAGGTAATCCTGATGAACGCAGCTGTCCCATCACTTGTCTGCACAGGCAGGCAGTGGCTGAGCACTGCCAGGAGCCATCAGCAGCAGTGGCCTGGGCAATCTGGTCTCAGAGGATAGAGCTGATAGGGAAGTCTGCTCTGAAGAGATGAAGAATATGAATGAGTTTGGGAAGGACAGAACAGAAGGATTTGTGAACCATGGATTAGTATGAAAAGAGGATGGAATGGGGGGGCACAGGCCAATATGGGATTCTGGTCATGTCCCTGGTATGTGGGGTAGTGACTGAAGCAAGCCATGACTGGGTTTACCTGGCCATTGTGTGAATGGGCTGACAAACCCCACAGATCTCTGAAAGACAGTGGGAGACCTGCTTCAGCCTACTCTGCTCTTGTCCTAGGGTAGGGTGCCCAGGGCCTCTGCTTGAACTGGGTTTCATGCTGCCTAGAAGTCCTTAGAGGGTAAAGGGAAGTAGGAGAGAGCCTGCAAGGCCCCAGGCAGGGGAGGAATGTGCTCACAGATGAGGACACAGGCTCACATAGAAGGGCAAACAACCCTTCCTGCAAAACCAGGGCAGGAGCAGAGCATCTGCACTAGACGCCTTGGTGCATGTTGTAACATTGCTGGCACACAATCCTGTCGCAGGGACACGTATTTTCCTTCATTGGCAGGGGTCGACACGCATCAAAGAAAGGGGCTGACCAGCTTGCATGTTGGTCCCAGTGTCAGACGGGAGTGCTCTCTGGAGTGTCAGGTTGGAGAGTGTGGCTTGGCTATGACAAATGTTGCTTTCCTTCACAGCTCATAGGCTCTAGAACTATTCACATGGCCCTACTAACCACAGGGGCCATGGAGTGCAGCCTCACTGTGTGCTCAGAAGGTAGAACAAGGGAGTCTTGGTGTGAGCCGCTGTAATGACTACTGTACTCCACCCCAGGAAATCTGTAGTTTCAGATGAATCTGAGACAAAGCAGTGTCAGACTGTTCTAGTTTGTTTCTCCATCGCTGTGACAAAACACTCTGACCAACACCAACTTGGGGAGGAAAAGGTTTATTTGGCTTACATCTCCCGGGTACAGTTCATCAAGGAGCCCAAGGCAGGAGCCCCAGGGAGGAACCTGGAGGCAGGCACTGAAGCACAGGCCGTGGAGGAACACTGCTTTCTGCCTTGCTCCCCTGCCCCATGCTCAGCCTGCTTTCTTATACAATATAGAACCTGCTCAGGAGTGGCACTGCCCACAGTGGGCTGGGCCTTCCCACATCACTCAAAAATCAAGAAAATGCCCCACAGACACAGCCACAGGCCAGTCCAATGGAGGCAATTCCCCAATTGAGGCTCCTTCTACCCAGGTGTGTCAAGTTGACACCAAAGCATCCAGCACACAGCCTTTACAAGCGTGGGGGCAGGGAGGACAAGGGAACAGGCTCTCCTGTCTCCCTGTCCACTGTTATCTTCAGTAGGGTCAAGCTCTTCAGCTGGGGATGCTGCTCTGGAGAAGGGTGCACGTCCTGGGTCCTGGGTTCCATCTCCAACATCATGAAAAGAGTAAAAAAATGTAGATGAAGATGTTTACATAGGGAGACCGCTAAACCGTTTTTAAATTAAAAGAAAAATTTATGTGTTTTGCCTGCATATAAGTGTATCATATGCTTACAACGCCTCCAGAGGCCAGATGGCATAGGATCCACGGGAACTGGAGTTACAGTTGTTAGCTGATATGTGGGTACTGAGAACCAAACCAAGGTCCTCTGTAAGAAGAGCCAGTGCTCTTAATCGCTGAGTCCCAATGTTTTTAGATGGGAGACAGAAGAGGACATTAAAAGTGCACTGGCATTTATTAGTTATTATTTAGTTTTTGGTCTGAGACTCGGGCTACAGGGCAGCCCTAGCTGGCCTGGAACTCACTATGTAGACCAGGCTGGCCTCAAACTCAGAGATCTGCCTGCCTCTTCCTCCCAAGTGCTGGGATTAAAGGTGTGCGTCACCACGCCTGGCTATTTTTTATTATTTTATGTATATGAATGCATTGCCTGCATGTAAGTGTACTTGTGTCATGCAATGCCAGAGGTCAGCAGGGTGCCAAGACTCCCCTGGAATTGAATTTATGGATGGTCAGCCGCCATGTGGGTGCTAACACTCAATTCTGGGTCCTCTGCAGGAGCAGTCAGTGCTCTTAACCACTGAGCCATCTCTTCAGCCCCACCATTTTTTTATTTTTTTAAAGTTGGAAGCCTAAACTGGCTGTGGTGGCACAAGCCTTTAGTCCCAGCACTTGGGAGGCAGAGGCAGGCAGATCTCTGCGAGACAGAGGCCAGCCTTTTGTATGTAGTGAGTTCCGGGCCAGATTTGGGAGCGCTGAAGCAGGAGGATCCAGAGTTTGAGGCCAGCCTAGGCTACAGAGTGAGAGCTTATTTAAAAACCAAAGGTGGGAAGACCCATTATGGTCAAACGCACACTACTGGTAAGGCCACACAATTGGGATGGTTGGTAAATGTCTCTAAGAGAGACTGGAGAGGAAGCAGGGGAGAGAGGAGGACCACTTTTCTGTCTTAGATTGTCACTTACAGATTGTTCACTCTCAAACTTTTTAACGTGGTACACATTTGTGCAGAGTGAGTGGGTGTGGTTAGAGGACAACTTGTCGGAGTCAGTTCTCTCCTACCACATGGGTCCCAGGGATCAAACTCAGGTCCTCAGGCTCGTGGTCAGGCACCTTTACCCACTTAGCTCACTAACCTAGTATTATCCATTTTAATAATCAACTACTCAATGCTAGATGCTGGAAGGGTAAAAGGGCATCTGTGGGAAACTGGAAAAAAATGAATAAGGTCTGTTGTCAACTGTACTGAGCATTGTTGCAGCAAGGTACCAATACAGTTTTGGGGAGTTGGCTCCTGGTTCATAATTCTACTGGATCCCCCCACCCCCAACCACTAAAATTCACAGCTAAGCCTAATGTTTTCTGGTAGTCCATGTGTCTGGGATGCCTCCCATTCTGCCTGACCTTGAAGTTGTTCATCCTCCAAAGCCAAGCTTATCAATCACTTGTGGGAAGCTTTCCCACACCCTCCCCCGAGTTCTCAATTTTGGTTCCACAAAAAGCAATCTTTATGCAGGATCTTTAGGGATCAACACCCCTGGAGAGGAACCCTGGGCAGAAGCTGGGCCAGAGCAATCCCCTTGGCTTACAAACCAGGAGCTTTAGCCAGGTGTGGTGCCTACCTTTAATCCCAGCACTTTGGAGGCAGAGGCAGGCAGACCTCTGTGAATTCAAGGCCAGTCTGGTTTATACAGTGAGTTCCAGGCCAGCTGGGGCTACAGAGACCCTGTCTTAAGAGACCAAAAAGAAAACAAAACTAACAAGAAGTTTTAAGGCTGAGATGTTCTTGAAAGATGGGGCCCCTTGGATTTGGGGCACCCAGGAAAAGGAGGTATGATCCAGCAAGGGTTCAACAGAGGGTCAACCCAGAAGGTGGGGGGATCCAGTCTTTGCCTTCTAAAGTGAGCTGGCCTTATATCTTCCTATGCACTACAGTGGAAGGACTGATTTAGAATACAGTCCAAGCTGGAGAACTGAAGGTTCTTGAACTCCTAAGGCAGGGGCCAGGAGGAGACTTCCCACCAGTCCTTCCCACACTAAGAACCAAGACTCTTCTTCACCCCATTCCCACAGAGGTAAAGTTCCCCCCAGACTAAGATGTTCATCTCCATCTAACCATAGGACAGCCAAGGAGAAGACTTCATTCTTACATTTCTTAATAACTTTCTAGGTTTTTTTCTTTTCAAGCAAACGAATATTTTTATTAACATGTAAGATTTTTTTTCCAAACATGGTAGGGGTTTTGACCTCAAATACTTCTCAGGTCTGCTACTCAAACTTAGAGCTCGACTACACAGGAACCTTGAAGACGCCTCTTCCTTGTAGTTTAGGGTCCACTGCAGACAGTCCCGTGTCTTCCTCCTCAGTCCATCTTAAGCCTTTCCAAGTATCTTCCCAGACCCCCCTCAAGTATATGGGGCTGCCCCATCAATTTGTACAGAATACCAAGACCTCGTCCCCCATCCTAGGCTCCATGTCATTTAGAATTAGGTTTTCCAAATAAACTCACCAGACAGGTTACAATATAGTGTACCACATAAAATTTAAATTTTGCACAAAATACATCTCTCCTCCTTTGGTCTCACACAGAAATTAAAGTCTCCCAAGAGAAGGAATTCCATGCTCCCACCCTTCTCCCAGTCCACCAGTCCTAGTCAGAGGGCCCATCTGCAGTCCAGGTGGAGTCTGGTCCCCTCTTCAGCAGCTGCTGCGCGGAGCCGTCCTCTAACACCCGTCCTGAGGGATGAACTCCAACTCCCGAGCGGCACGTGTGCCTCACACCGACCCGAGTTCCAGGGAGCTGTCAGGTGACACGAGGGAAGAGCAAAGCACCTCAAAATCCAAGCCCAGGAACGACGAGGCTGCTGCCCAAGAGCTCACGAGCGAGGCCCTAATTCCTGTGAGAGCATTTTCCAAATAAAAATTACTTCCCCAACCAAAGGAACGAATCTAACGATCAAGCTCATTGAGGTCATCCACCGCAGACCACAGCAGAAACGTAGTGTAAATGAGGACAGAGAAGACAGGAAAGAAAAGGGAAACAAGGCTCTCTGGTTTCAGCTTCTCCGGGGTGTCAGCCATCACTCGACCAGAATCCGCTGGCTGGAAACCTGCGGCACAGGAGAGATCCATCACTGAAGTCCGTCCGCCGCCATAACAATCTGGAACGGTGCACGCCGACCCTCAGCGAAGCCCCCCAACGCGCCCGTCAACTAGCTCCCTTAACTGGGGGGGGGGGCAGTGTCCGTTAGCTCCGGAGGCCACGTCTGGGCTTCCGGTTCTAGAATGTTCCTTATCCATCAGTGACAGCTGGTTCCCGGCTTCTCCCCACTCCAACTAGAGGGGGAGGGGTCGATCCCGAGGCCACTCTGGGCTTCCGGTTCTAGAACGCACCTTACCTACCTGGCCCTCCGCTGCCCCCCCGGGCCCCTCCGCTGCCCCCCGCGGCCCCGCTCACCACCGCCGCTCACGACGACTCGCCCTTCTCTATCCGCCGCACCAGCTGCACCAGCATCTCGGCCATCTTCGCCATCTCCTGCGCCTTCTCCTCCGCCTTCTCCGCCCGCGGCCCGCGGGGCTCCACGCCCGGCTGCAGGTGGTTGAGCGCGCTCTCCTCCGACGCCTCCACCTGCGTCTTGATCTGGATCAGCATATTGTCCATCTCCCACAGCTTGCCCCGGTTGCGCACGGGCGCGCGCCCGCGCTCGCGCGTCAGCGACGCGATGTCCTCGCGCATCTCGTGGATGACGGGCAGCAGGAACTGCTCGAAGTCCTCCTCGGGCTCCAGCACCTCCACCTCCTCGGGCTCCGCCAGCTCCACGGCGTCCAGGGGCCGCATGGCGGGGACGCGGGTCTGCACGGCCGGGGCGACTCTCGGCGACCGGGCTGCGGCCGGCTGCGGGGCTTCCGCCCTGCTCAGCGTTCCTGCTCGAGCGGCCGCGGAGACGAACGACCGGCAGGCAGACGGGCGGCGAACAAAATGGAGTCGCCGCCGTCAGCCAGCGCTCAGCGCGTTGCGACGCCTCCGCGACACCGCCCGCCTCTCTTTACGGTCGCGCTGTTCGCGGGCACGCGCACGTCCACGACGGGCGGGGCGACGCCGGCGGCCGCGCGTAGGGCCAGTGCCTGGGCTTGGCTGGTGGGGGCTTCTCGGGAGGGGGGTGCGCTTGGCTTCTGGTCCGGGTCCTAGAGCGCTTCCCTGTTAGGGAGCTTGCACTTTGCCGGATCTTTTTTTTTTTTTTTTTTTTTTTGAAGCAGGGGCTCCCTGTAGCTCCAGCTGTCCTGGAACCCAATATGTAGACCAGGCTAGCCTCGAACTCACAGAGATCCACCTGCCTCTGCCTCCCCAGTACTGAGATTAAAGGTATGCGCCACCACGCCCGGCACTTTGCTGAATCTTGATTTAACTTAAAGTACTTACTATTTTGGGGCTGGAGAGATGGCATAGGACCCAGGTTCGATTCCCAGTACCCACATGGCAGCTAACAACTGTCTGAAACTCCAGTTCCAGGGGATTCGACGGCCTCTTCTGTCCTCCGCGGGCATTGCAGTACACGGGTGCACTTAAGTGCACCCGTGTAGTGCAGTGCCTGCGTATATGTAAATGCACTCCTGCTATGCAGTGCTTGCTTATATTTGTATGCACCCGTGTAGTGCAATGCCTGCATATATGTAAATACACCCATGTCATGTAATGCCTGCATATATGTAAATGCACCCATGTCGTGCAATGCCTACATATATGTAAATGCACCTGTGTAGTGCAGTGCAATGCCTGTATGTATGTAAATTCACTCGTGTCATGCAATGCCTGTATATATGTATGTTGGGCAATGCTCACATATATGTAAATGCACCCATGTCATGCAGTGCCCATAGAGGTCAGAAGAAGGTGTTGGATCCCCTGGAACTGGACTTATGGATGGTTGTTAGTTCCCCATGTAGGTGCTGGGAACCAAACTTGGATCCTCTGCAAGAGCAGCCAGTGCTCTTAACCACTGAGCCATCTCTCCAGCCCCCTAAAATTTTTTTTTAAATTTATTTTATTTAGAAATATTTTATTTATTATACTTGCCTGGCAGGGGAGACACCATGATCAGGAAGGTGGTTTTCCCAGGGTGAGGCTTATCCATTGCACTTGGGATGTGCTGGCCCCTGCGATTTCCCCAAATTCGGGAAACTCAGTTGCATAATTTGTGGTAGTGGGGGACTACGTTGTTGCCCTCTCTTGTAATAAAATTTTTTTAAGTAGTCTATTTATTTATAGCTAGGTGTGGTGGGGCATGCCTTTGATCCCAATACTCGGGAGGCAGAGGCGGATATCTGTGAGTTCGAGGCCAGGCTGGTCTACATAGTGAGTTCCAGGATAGCTGGGGCTACACCCTGTCTCAAAAAAAATTCTATTTATTATTATTATTATTATTATTATTATTTTATGTGTATGAGTGTATTGCCTGCATGTGTGTAAGTTGCACCCATGTCATGCAATGCCCACGGAGGTCTGAAGAGGGTGTCTGATTCCCTGGAACTGGAGTTACAGACCCTTGTTACAGGTCATGTGGGTGCTGGGAATCGAACCTGGGCCCTCTGCAAGCAGCCAGTGCTCTTAACCTCAGAGCCATCTCTCCAGTCCAAGTTATTATTATTATTTTTTTTTTGAGACAGGGTCTGGGCAAGTAGACCAGGCTGGCCTTGACCTCAGAGAGCCACTCCCCTCTGCCTCCCTCCCAAGTCCTGAGCTTAAAGGTGTGCACCACCATGCCAGGCCCATTATTTTACTTTATTAGAATCTCTTATGCTGTATTCCAGGGTGCAGGTTGACTTGGAACTCAATTATGTGGCCTTAAACTGGCCTTGAACTCCTTGCAGTCCTCCTTCCTTAACTTCCCCAGTGCTGAGATTAAAGGCATGAGCCACCACGCCAGTTACATTAAAGTTTACATTGAAAAAGGTTTTCCTACACTAGGAAAGACCCTAGGAAATACTGTAGTCAAAACCCTCAACTGGTGTTTGGATCCTTCCTCCTAGGCCTGGACACCCACCAGCTCAGCTAGTTTAAAGTGTAATTTCTTAATTTTTTAGAGATTTATTTTTATTTTATCTGTTTGAGTGTTTTGCCTGCATATATGTAAGTGTACCCATGTTATGCAGTGCCAGTGGAGGCCAGAAGAGGGTGTCGGATCCCCTGGAATGGTTGTTAGCTGCCATGTGGATGCTGGGATTTGAACCCAGGTCTTCTGGGTTAAGAGCCAGTGTTCTTAACCACTGAGTCATCTCTCCAGCCCCCTGAAGTGTAATTTCTTTTTTTCTGATTGACAGGAGTGTCCGAGTATCCTTTTAAGAGACAGACCCTCTACTCCCTGAAGTCAAACCCTAGTCTGATGGGTCATGAGGCCAGAACTGAGCCAGAACTCATTTGGTGTGGAGAGGCCGCCTGCCTTTCCACCCAGGACTGAGGGCTCTGGTTGGCTTCAGGCAGGTCTGTGCTCCTAACAGTCTGGACCAAACTTGGCACACGTTACAGTTTGCTTTAACAGTCACTCAGCACACAACCTTGATGCTGACTTCATCTACTGAGCCATTCTGAGACAGCACCATCTCAAGAACCCAGCTTGTGTGTTTGGCTGGTTTTCCAGTCATGAAAACATCTTGTAAGTATCAAGCATAGACATACGTACAGTGCAGGTGTTTAATAAGGCTCTTCTCAGATTTTCTGCATTTTGGTGGCTCTTAAAAAACCCACTTGTAGCCAGGCATGGTGATATACACCTTTAATCCCAGTGCTCTGAAGGCAGAGGCAGGCAAATCTGTGAGTTTAAGACTAGCCTGGTCTACATAACAATTTCCAGGCCAGCCAGGGCTATGTAGTGAGAGCCTGTCTCATAAAACCAAAAGAGGTTGGGAGGCAGAGGCAGGTGGATCTCTGTGAGTTCATGGCCAGCCTGGTCTGTATAGCAAGTTCCAGGCCAGCCAGAGCTACATAGTGAGACTCTTTCTCAAAACCCCCCCCCCCCCCCGCAGCTCCCTGGCAACTCTTAGGTTTTCTTGACATCAGTGGACGCAAAATGTCATTTTTTTTTAACGGAATAAGAGTAAATAGCTCAAATAACAATGAAATTCCATTATTGTAGTAAAAAAAATGCAGAACACAGTGCCAAATGCCGGTGAACTTGGGAAACCCTTCTTCCATCGTGGTGGGAATGCAAGGCTGTGCAGTCATGTTGCAAACGCAGCTCTTATGTACCACCCAACAAAGGAGTTGATCCTGTCTGTCCACACAAACCCCTGCAGATGGTGTTTATACCTGCTTTGTTACTGCCCAAAGACAAGAGGAGCAAGCAGCCTTCAGTAGGCGAAGGACAATGGAGTAAGTGTGAAAAGAATGGGCTGTCAAGGCACAGAAAGACGCAGAAGAATCTTAAATTCATGTTACTGAGCGTGTCTGTCTACCCCTTGGTTCCAACGACATGACCGTCTAGAAAAGGCAGATTAGGGAGACAGGAGACCAGTGGTTGGTTGAGGGCGGAGGGAGGATCAGGCTGCAGCACTTGGAGGCTTTTCAGGAGGTGATGCTGCTCTGTGACACGATATATGCATGCCATCATACGTGTCTGAACCCATAGAATGCCCAGCACCAAGTTCAAACCCTAACAGAAGCAAAGACTCTGGGTAATAGTCATGGGCCCTGTAGGGATGTGCAGGGGTGCTGATGGGGGAAGGTGGGGTGCACTTTTGCTGGGAACCTGAAAGTACTGTGAAAAAATGTTGATTTGAAAGGGGTGGGGCAGGTTGGGAGATGGCCGAGTGGACCAAGTGCTTGCTGCCCAAACAAGAAGCCCTGAGTTCAGATCCTCACCAGCCATGTTGGGAACCAGGTATAGTGGCGAATGTCTGTAACCCTGGCACTGGGGCAGGGTGGGGTGGTTGGTTGGAGGCAGAGAGATCCTGCTGTTTGCTGGCCTGTCAGTCTAGCCAAAATGGCAAGCTCCGGGTTTGTTGAGAGACCCTGTCTCAAAAAAATAAATAGAGTAGAGGAAGACACCTGATGTTGACCACGGTCCTACATCCGTGCATGTGGGTAGACCCATTTGCACATGTGCACACAAGCACATACATATGCCAAACAGACAAAAACTGGGATAGGACCAAACGGTTCCTACCATGGAGGGTGGGGATGAGTTGGAAACAACCTCTCCCCCACGTCCAAGTTACAAAGCACAGCTATGCAGTGTTTATCATGCTGAGCTCTGGAATTCCTTTTTTTATTTTTTTGTCAGCAATTTCTATTTTTTTTCTTTTTTTTAATATTTTTTATTTTATATGTCTGAGTGTTTAGCCTGAATGTATGTATGAGCACCATGTGTGTACAAGTGCCCAAGGAAGGCAGAAAAGAGCACCGGATCCTCTGGAGCTGGAGTTACAGGTGTTTCTGGGCTGTATGTGGGTGTTGGGAACTGAACCTAGGATCTGTGCGAGAGCAGCAAGCGCTCTTAACTGCCGAGCACTTAAAAACTGCTCCAGCCCATTTTTAAAAGTATTTATTATGTGGTTGGTGGCAGGGAGATGTGCGTGCCGTGGTATGCTTGTGGAGGTCAGAAGACAACTTGAGGAGTCAGTTCTCTCTTCACCCTGTGGGTTCCAGGGACTGAGCTCAGGTCATCAGGCTTCGGGGAAGGAGCCTCCCCTGCTAAACCATCTGTGATGGCTAATCCTGGGTGTCAACTTGATTGGATCTGGGATTAACTGAAATGAAAGAGATCTTCTTGATTGGATCATCTAAAACCGAAGACACACCCTAAATGTGGGTGTTACCTTCTGATGGCAGCCGGTATAAAAGACCAAGGCAGAGGAGAACGCCAAGCTTCTTGCTGCTTGCCTTCTCTCTTGCTGGTGAGTTTGTCTTGCTGCTGTAGACTGAAGACTAGCTGATCTTCTGGAATTTGTCAGACCTTCAGCGCCAGATCAGGACTACTGACACATCCAGCCTTGTGGACTGAGTCATTACGGATTCTCAGCCTCTCCAGTGTGTTGCAGCCATTGTTGGACTACTCGGACTCTATCCTGTGAGCTAAGCTGATAAATCTCTATGCCAGATTGGGACTACTGAGACATCCAGCCTCGTGGACTGAGCGACTACAGATTCTCAGCCTCTCCAGTGTGGTGTAGCCATTGTTGGACTGCTGGGACTCTATCCTGTGAGCTAAGCTGATAAATCTCTATACATATATATTCGTTCTACCGGTTCTGTTTCTTTGGAGAGCCCTGACTAATACACCATCTCAGTGGCTCCCTGATGTGTTCGTGTCTGTATCCTTGCCTTCCAACTTGTTTTTAACAGGGTCTCTCTTTCATCGTGTAGATCCAGTCTAGCTGGACAGAAGGCATCAAGGAATTCTGCTGTCTTTGCCGGAGCAGTGGGATTGGACCCTGGCTACTGGGCCCTGCTTTATGTGGGTTCTGGGGCAGATCTGCACACAAGCATGGCAAGCACTTTGCACCTGGAGCCATCTCGGCCCGTTCTTTCCCTCATTACCCCTTTCTTCCTTTCTGGTTTATTTATTAATTCCTCAAGTGAGCCCGAGTTCATTAGAGCTTTCCTTTGCTTCTAATACAGCATTTTAAGACTCTTAAGTTTCCTTGAGGTCTGACTTGACCTGCCTCACACAACTTTTGATATTTCTTTTTCATTATTTCTTAGTTCTAAGAGTGTGCTTATTCCTGTTATGGTTTGGTTTAGCTTTTGTTTTTTTGAGACGGGCTCACGTGGCCCAGGCTGGTCTTGAACTCACTACATAGCAATGGTGACCTCGAACTCCTAACCTCCTGCTTGTTTCCCAACACCCAACTCCATTACAACATTTCAAAAGATTTTATTTGTGTGTACGTGTCTGTGTGTGTGTCTGCCACAGGGTTTGCGTGTCCTTGGAGGCCAGAAGAGGGTGTCAGAGCCCCTGGAGCTGGAGTTACAGGCAAATGTAGCAGCCCAATGTGGGTTCTGGGAACCAAACTTGGGTCCTCTGAGAGAACAGCAAGCACTCTGAACCACTGAGCACTCTCTCCAGCTTCCAGAATTTTTTTTTTTGAGTTACAGGCGTGGGAAACCACACTCAGTGGCCATCATGATGTTTTGATCCCTCAAGTGTTAGAACTTTTCATTTTTAACCACTTGAGAGCTGTTCACATTTTTCTATTTTGCCGGGATTTGACTAACAGCCTGGACAATTTTGGTGCACTTTCTACATATGCCTGTGGAGGATGTGTATTGCCCAGTTCCGGGAGCAGGCCTTCACGCACCCCTGAGGCCTTGCTACTCAATAGCTTCTTTCTTTGTCTTGCTTCTCTGGAGTCTGATCCCGCACTTTGGGTTTCTGTCTGGAATCACTTCTCTTTTCCCTTAAGCAAAGGCCTCTTCAGAAATTGTCAGAGTTGGGGGCCAGAGAGTGTTCAGTGGTTAAGAGTGCTTGCTGCACAAGCCTGAGGACCTGAGTTCAAGCCTCAGGCACCCACGCAAAACGTTGTATGTGGCTGCACGTGCTTCTAATCCCAGCACTGTGGGGGCAGAGACAGGAAGACCACTGGGGCAACCAGTTTAGGCCCGTCTCAGTGAGATATCTTGTCTCTAAGGAACAGGGGGGAGTGATTCAGCAATGGAATAGGTCCTCTTCTGGCCTCTGCGGGCACCCATGGGTATGCATGCATGTGCACACACACACCTGCATATATTATACATACACCTTGTACACATACACCATAAAAATAAAAAAATTAAAGTTAGAAAAGTTTTAGCCAGGTGTGGTGGCACACACCTTAAGTCATAGCATTTGGGAGGAAGGTGGATCTCTGAGATCAAGGCCAGCCTGGTTTACATGAGGCATTCCTGGCCACGTGGGGCTACAGAGAAACCCTGTCTCCCTCCCCACCAAAATGAAAATTTAATTGTGTGTGTGTGTGTATGTATGTATACAGGAAATAAACAAAGGCAGTGGTACAGTTTTGCAGAGTGCCTTGGCCGGGGCAGCCTCCGGGCTGGGTACCAGTTGCCCAGAACAAAGACAGGTGAGGGGATTTTCAGCAGACAGACAACAGGAAGCAATGTGTTGATGTGGAACTTGATCTTTCCCAAGCTGGAGACTGGAGAACAGTTTGTCCTGGACCAGATGAGGCAAGGCAGACCATGTGGGAGAAGAATTGGAACTTAAAGTCCAATGGCTCTGGTCCAAACCTGTAGGGAAAGAACAGATTTCTTTTGATGCCCTTGAGAATGATGCTGAACGCACCGTGCTTGTCATTGGTTTGGAGCACCGAGAAGCTCCTACAGAGTGCATGACCCTGGGTACCTGGGAGGCTTCTGAGGGAGGAAACTCCTTGCATATCTGTGGTCCTCCCTAGGTCCTCTGGCCCTGGGAAAAGATGCTCGAAGGTGGAGATGCTTTGTTGACAGGACTGGAAAGAATCTGTGGCCTTGGATGAAATGTGACCCTCCCAAAATTCCTATGCTGACATCCTAACCATCAATTGAAGGTGTTAGGAGATGGGTCCCCAGGGAGGTACTTGAAAACTAATTTTTCTTGAGGATGGGGCCCCATGATGAGATTAGTGGCCTTACCAGAAGAGACACAGGAGCTTGCTCCTGCTCTGTGTCACCTGCCACTTGAGGGCACACTGAGAAGACAGCCATGTGTAAACCAGGAAGCTGCCCTCCACAGGCGTCTGCTGACACCTTGACCGTGGACTTGCTGCCTCTAGAACTGTGAAGGAAATGAGAAGTCTGTGCAGTTGGTTAGAGCTGCCCCAGTTGGCTGAGACAGCTGTCTGCCCCTGAGGATGGTGGGCGTGCATGTCCTTCCCCTTCACTGCTTGCACCTCACACCCCACTTCCTCCACTCTGTTCTGCTTTCTGGGGATTTGAACAGCTTAAGGGATCCAAAGCCCAGAGCTGTTACAAATGGATGGGGACAGTGGGGAGGTAAATGTGTTCTGGAAGTTTTATCTTGCTGGTTGGAGAGAGGAAGGCTAGCAGGTAATGAGCCATCTTCATAGTGGTGAATTGTGAGGTTTATCTTATTTTATTTTGTTTTTTGTTTTTTTTTTCGGAGCTGAGGACTGAACCCAGGGCCTTGCGCTTGCTAGGCAAGCACTCTACCACTGAGCTAAATCCCCAACCTCCCATAAGGAAATATGGGCTTGTGATTATTAGGAAAAAAAAAACCCGCCTAGGAAGAAACTAATAGAAAAAGTGTACAGACTGGTAGTAATAAGAAAGAAGTCAGGGGGCTGGAGAGATGGCCCAGCAGTTAAGAGCACTGACTGCTCTTGCAGAGGACCTGGGTTCGATTCCCAGCACCCACATGAACTGTCCTTAACTCCAGTCCCAGGGGAATCTGAAGCCCTCCTCTGACCTCCGCAGCATTGCACGACACAGGTGCACTCACATACATGCAGGCAATACACTCATACACATAAAATAAGAATCAAAAAATTTAAAAAAGAAGTCAGGTGTGGTGGTAATGAGTGTGTGAACACAAAAACCACTACACGCGGACACGGCCTGGTGGTGCATCCTTGTAATCCCAACATCCAGGAGTCTCAGGCAGGAGGACTGTGAGTTCCAGGTCAGTCAAGCTACATAGTGAAACCACCCACAGAACATCTAAGCACTAGTCCAAAGTTCCAAACATTTCCACAATCTCCAATGAAACAACATTGTCAGGTCCTTCACAGCAGTACACCACATTCCTAGTACCAGCTTTTATTCTAGTTTGGTTTCTCCGTTGCTATGATAAAACATTGACCAAAACTAACTTGGGGAGGGAAGGAATTATTTCATCTTACCTTTCCTAGGCACAGTCCATCTTTGGGGGAACTCAGGCAGGAACTGAAGCAGAGACTATGGAGGAATGCAGCTTACTGACTTGCTTCCCTGAATTTCTCAGCTTTGAAATTATGGATGTTGACCCAGTTACTGCTGTGTTCAAAACCCCCCACCCAAGGGGCTAGAGAGATGGCTCACTGGTTAAGAGCACTGGCTGCTCTTGCAGAGGACCGAGCTTCGATTCCCAGCACCCACATGGTAGCTAACAACTGCCCAGTTCTAGGGCATCTGACGCCCTTTTCTGACCTCTGCGGGCATTGCATGACATGGGTACACTTACATGCATGTAGGTAGTACATTCATACACATTAAAAAAACAAACCACCCGTTGCAGCTTGATGCCAGAGCAATCACCCTCACCATCTGTGGTCGGGAGCTTGGAGAGGGCTCTCAGCTTGGAGAGCCTCCTGGAGTCTCTTCCTCAGCTGCCTGGAGCTGCTGGCTGGGATGGGCTGTAAGAGTCAGAGGAGGCTGAAAGACCCAGAAATACCTCAGTCTCCACTCTTAACTGGGGTGTCTGGAGTGTTTGGGTATTCTTCCTCTTACACCACCCCCTGGGTGAACTTTTGTCTTTCTGGGAAGACATTTTTCTGTGTTCTCTAGAATTTTCTATGGAAGGGAAGAAGAGATGTTGATAGACTTCCATCTCTGTCACAGTGAGAAACGTTTCTGAGGGACCAGTGAGATGGTCCACTGGGTGAAAGGCTTGCCACATAAACTTGATGCCCGAATTTCATTCCTGGAACCCACATAAAGGTGGCGAGAACTGACTGCACACTGCTATCCTCCGGCCTCCACATGGCGTGTGTGCACCACTCTGTCATTAATAATAATAATAATAATAATAATAATAAAATTTGGAGTTATTTAGGCAAGTTTGAGCTAGGTTTGTGCAGTGTGGCTTGTACAAAAGGAGATGTAAGATAAGAGATGTGAACTTGGACTTGTTTTATCTGTTTCCACTTGTACATTTATAATTTTCGCATTCTTGTATTTTCTCTCTCTTCCCTCCCATCTCTGAGATAAGATAGGGTCTCACTATGTAGCCCTGACTGCCTAGAGGTTCACTAAACTCACTATGTAGACCAGGCTGGCCTTAAGCTTGTAGTGCCCCTCCTAACTGCCTCCCAAGTGCTGGGACTGCAGGTGTAAGAAATAAATTATTTTGTCCATTTTCAGCATAAGGTACATTTAGAGCTCATCTGAGAATCACAAATAAGCAGATCTAAGCCCCTGTCTTCTCTGATCCCAGCTTGTCTAGGCACTCTAAGTTCATCTTAGGACTGAAAAGTTACAGTCTGCTATGTGAATGAGCCCACATATTAGTAAAGTAGGGACTTGATCCCTGGGATTTTCATTAGATAAGGTTTTGCCTCCTGAATCAATAGGATGGGGATCAGGGGAGGGGGCTGTGGTAGACACTGGGAAGCTTGTACCTCCCTGAAGAACTCAGCCCATGAGGAGTTCAGGGAGTAAGGAAATGGAGTCAGGGATATAAAATCCAGTTTTGTGTCAAATTGGTGTGCAGGCTAATTTTGTCTTTGCCTTTTGCAAGGTTATAAAACAAACTATTCACTTCCCTACTCTGAAGTTCCAATGCTCTTATTATAAAGTGAAGATCACTGTTCTCACACAGAACCACTATGCCACCATGCCTAGCCTCCCCCTACACCCCCACCCTGCCCAGGGCTAGGGATCAAACCCAGGGCCTTGTGCATACTAGGCAAATGCTCTACCACTGAGCCACATTCCACAGCCTCTCTTTTAAAATATTTATAGTTTTTCTTTTTTTTCTACTTTGATCTTTTTGAGACAGAGTCTCCCTGTAGCTCCAGCTGATCTGGAGCTCACTATGTAGACCAGGCTAGCCTTGAACTCACAGAGATCCGCCTGCCTCTGCCTCCTGAGTGCTGGGATTAAAGGTGTGTGCCACCACACCTGGTTATTTTATATATTGTCTATAGAAATGCATGCTTCATATTTTTAAAGATTTATTTATTTATTTGTATGTGTGTGTCTCTTTGTGTATGTCACATGTGTGCAGGTGCCCACAGAGGCCAGGAGAAAGGGTTGGATCCCCTGGAGCTGGAGTTCCAAGTGGTTGTAAGCTGTTGTGCTGGGAACTGAACTCAGGTCTTCTGCAAGAGCAGCAATTGTTCTTAAATACCGAGCCAACGTTCCAGCCTCAGGATTCATATTCCTATAGAATTATTCAAATTCTTACAGATGTGGTTTATCTTATATGCAAAAACGAAGTTTGTATATAATCATATGCGTATGATTTATGTACGTAGTTTCCTTATGAATTATCTCGTTTTATACCCACTTTCTGCCTGAATTACCCACGGTGGGTGCTGCTGCTGTTTCGTGTCTTTGCCTAGGAATGGTTTTAAAGGAAACTCGCCATGTACCCATCAACCATGCCAGGAAACAAATCCACTACAATATCTCAGAAGTACAGGTGTGGTTAGTGTGTGCGTAAGGTGCTCAGGCCTCACTGGTTCAACAAATTGAAATTGGCTTTGTTCCTATAGAGAATCTGGACCAGCCCAGGAGTGGTGGAGCAGTTCTGAAGAAGCCGGGCTGTGTAAATCCCCTTTTTAAAGAAATCATGAGAGAACCAGCAGCTCAAAATGACCCCTTCCTCTGTCTCTCTGTCATCTCCCTCTCTTTCTCTGTCTCTCTCTCTGGTGCTAAGGATGGAAGCCAAGGTTATACTAGGCAAGTCCTTTACCACAGAGCTACATCCCAGTCCTGAGAAAGAAATGGAGTGGTTGATCATCTGTAGAGGTGACTCCAGGAGGAGTCACACACAGGAATTGTAATGCCACTTTGTTAAAGTCTGTGAGAAATTATGTTTTTTGGGGAACACCCAAACCCCATCTCAGGTGGAATATGCTGTTTGTGAATAAATTTGGGAGGAGGAAGTGCAGAACGCTGGGTCCCAAATGTAGGAGCAACCATGTCCCTTCCCAGTGCTTGGTGTTTTATGGTGCCATGTGCATATTGGGTGTAAGGGCCATGGGGTCCTCGTTTATAGCTTCGTTTCCCAGATGTTAGAGGACACCCCTTAGCAAAACGGTGGATGTGAAGTGAAGACCTGGTAAGCCTCATAAGTGCCTGCTTGTTCCTGGGTCACCTGTTCCTACCTGAAGCCCTTCCAGTCTGCAGCCTTTGTTACGTGTGAGCACTTAGTTCAGCCCTGCTGTGGGCGGCAGGAAACCAGCCCTCAATGGAATCACAGGTGCACAACAAAAAAACAGGCTAGGGTGAGCCTAGTGTTTGTGTAAGAAACATCAAATATTGTTCTCCAACCCCAAACTGATGGCCTGGGGCAGTGGAACTCTTCCCCCTTCTTTTGAAGATTTGTAAACATGCACTTGTGACTAAATCAAAAGATGCATTTGGAACGCCTATGTAAATACCCTCTCTTCTGGGGCACTGTGTCAGGACCCATTCAGCAGTGGTGTAGAAGGAACACAGGGAAAGCCTGACTTAGATTGACTATTTTGTTTTTTGGCAGTGCTAGGATGAACCTGGGGCCTCACACAGGCAGTGCGAGCACTCCTGAGCTGAATCTCCACACGCAACTCTTGGGTGCGCTGCAGAGTTACAAGAGGCAATTCCATGCAACACACCTTCTCACTAGTGTTAATAACAGGCATGTTGAGTGTTTGTTTCTCAAGACAGGGTCTCATGTATCCTAGGTTGGCCTGGACTTGCTACATAGCTCAGGATGACCCTGAACTGATCTTCCTGTCTCTACCTCCTAAGTGCTAGGGTTATAGGGTGCACAGCCAGACCTTGCTTGTACAGAACCTTGTGAATACTGGGCAAGCACTTTACCAACTGGGCTACAGACCCAGCTCTGTTTATTTATTTATTTTTGAGACAGACTCACTCTGTAGCCCAGGCCAGCCTGGAACTCACAACCTTCCTGTTTCAAACTTGGTGCTAAGATTACAGGCGTGCACCCACCACCATTTTTTGTTAACATGAAAGTGACAATGAGCGACCCTAACAATGTCGCGCTCAGTGTTGTGCTCCACCAATACTGTATCTAGGGTCTTTGCTCCATGAAAGGTCAGATACAATATTTTTGCTAATAGATTGAGTTAGTGTGAGGTATATGCTTGGTCATCAAAAAATTTACATGCTCTGGTTTGGGAATCAGTAAATGTGTGGGAAGCAGGCAGACCCACCCTGTGTGGCTCAGGCACATACGGGGCATGCTGGGAGGATCTGAGGGCATGTCTACAGTGGGTGGCTGTGGACAACCTTGAAAGCCGCAAGGCTTTCGATTTTCTAGACTCACGTGTTAACTTTGAAACATAAAAGCTCTCAAAAAAATGGGAGGAGAGGGGAAGGGAGGGGAGGGAGGAAGAGAGGGAGGGAGGAAGGGTGGGAAGAAGGGAGGGATGGACGAAGGAAGGGAGGGACTATTGTTGTGAGAAGAGAGGAGGGGCCTGGCTTCAGCATGGAAAGAAAGAACACAGACTTTGATTTTTTATTTGAAAGAATTTAAGAATTGAACCCCCCCCACGGCCATTTCCTGAGCTAGCGTCTCATTCTAGGTCCCTCGTCTCACTGTGGGTCCCTCGGTTTCTTCCAGTTCCAAGGTCCAGTGTTCATGGCTGCCGGAAGTGAATGAAGAATGTCCGGATTTCCTTGGGGTGCACAGTGATGGTGGCGCCTCCTGGTGGCTGTGGTGGGGAGGTGGTCTGACCTGGGGAATACAAGGAGGCTGTCCAGCTTGGTGCTTCCTCCAGGAGCCCCCCTCCCCCTCAGAGCACAGTAGCTGTCTACAGACTGTGACCATGTGACCTTGTGACCATAGCTGCCCCCTCCTCCCAGGCTAAAGCGGATCTCACCATCTATCCTCCCCGGGGGCTGCAGTGAGGGTCACTGTACCACCCATTGGTCAGATTTCCCTGTGGGGGCTGCACTAAGTGCCTAAGGCTTACTGGGTAGGACCATCTGGAGAAATCTGCCCTCACCGTACCAGCTCCACCGAAGTCCAGCTCGGGCTTGGGCTTAGCCTCGGCAGGGAGCATCTTCATGCTCTCTGCCTGCCTGGATGGCTGGGTGTCCACTGTTCCCAGCCCTACACTGTGCAGCAGGGCTACCTCAGCAGAACTCCTGGGGGCATACTTGTGTTGTGGCTTGGGGCTCTCACCCAGCATAGAAACAAGTCATCGTGTGTGGTTCCCCCCCCCATATCTTTTTCTCCACACAGACACACACACACACACACACACACACACACACGTGCACACTCCTGTGTGGAGCCTTGGCAGGAGGGGACTGATCCAAAGCCCTTCCTAACCTACTCTGATAATTATGGAGGGCTGTGGATTCAGAGAGAGAAAGCCACACAGCACTGGGCCTATCTGTGCTGCTGGGACTCCCAGGGGGGCTAAGGCTGATCCCAAACCTCTCGAGTGACCAGTCTCTGTTCTCCAGTGCCAGCGCTGCAGTGTGTGCATGTCCCAGGTCCCAGTGAGTGAGCGCTCCTCCACAGCCACCACGGACCCCAGCCCTTGCAGCACAGCCTACAGGACAGGAGTAGAGGGAAGGGTGGGTTTCACTGATACCCCAGATCCAAGCAGTGCAGAGAATCAAAAACAGTAGCAGGGCACCCACGGTACTGACTGCACCTGTCGCCCCAGGGCCTAGCCTGAGCCTAACACCCCTGCCTCATTTCACCTGCAAGGGTAGATAGCCAGGTTGTTCACAGGCAAGGAATCTGCGGCTGGGGATGTGCACCTTCCCAGATGAGCAGGCTCAGGTGGGGACAGGCACCTCAATGAGACGATGCTTGGGAGCCCGCAGAGAGGGCAGGTACTGTGCACACATCACTGCCCCAGAGCCTCTCCACAACCTTTTTTGTTTGTTTTGAGGCAAGGTCTCACTTTGTAGCCCCAGATAGCCTGAACCTTGCTATGTAGACCAGGCTGGCCTTGAACTTACAGAGCTCTGCCAGCCTCTGCTACCTCCCAACTGCTGGGATTAAAGGTGTGCACCACTATACCTGGCTTCGCTATGGCATTTAGAGCAAAGCCCTGGGCCTCTCCTAGCTTAACAGGTGCGGAAACTGAGCCCCAGAAGATTGTAGGAACCTGAGACCCAGACCCTGGATTCTCCGACTTTAAGTCACCCTGCCAACGAAGTCTAGGGAGAATAGGTCTGATTTTCTGACTACACAAATGATGTCTGTGTTGTTTGAAAGGATTCTGCAGCAGGCTGGGGACACAGCTGGCAGAGTTTCCCCCAGCACGGGGGTGGGCAGGGTGAGGAACAGAGGCAGGAGCACCCCTGGAACTCTTGGGCCAGCCTAGCCAATCAGTGAACTCCAGGTTCAGTGGGAGATCCTGTTTCAAAAAATAAGGCGGAGGGGTGGTGCTAGAGAGATGGCTCAGTGGTCAAGAGCACTGGCCATTCTTACAGAGGACCCAGGTTCAGTTCCCAGTAGCCGCATGGCAGCTAACAACCCATCCACAACTTCAGTTTCAGGGGATCTGATGTCACCTTCTGGCCTCTGCAGGCACTGCATGCATGTGGCGCACTTACATGCAGGCAAAGCACTCATACAAAATTTAAAAAAAAGGTACAGTGACAGAGGAAGACACTCTGACATTGATTGCTGGTCTCCATGTGTACACATGCATGTGCACTGCATGTACACTGGCATGCACATGTGCACACAGTCATGCAAACATATACATATACCATACACCCCTCCTTCCCCCCAAAAGGTTTGCAGCAAAAATAAATAAGGAAGAACCGGGTGTGGGCCTGCTGTGCCAATTGGGAAATCTAGAGGACTTTGAAGGGAAGGGCCTGGGTATGAGCCCAGCAGGCCTCATAGGGAACACATCAAATGGTCCTCTGACCCAGGTGTGGCCCAGGCAGGGTCTTTACTGGGTTGCCTCCCCTGGTTGGAGCATGCTGGGAGGCCTGGCAGGTCTTGGGTGGGGTGGGTGTGGGAGGTTTACCTTGAGATCCACTGTCGCAGGCTGAGACAGGACTGGGTCCTCCCCTGCCTCATACAGGTGGTGGAGCCTCAGCAGGACTCGGCGCAGGTCTGCCTGGGCCTTCCTTCCGTTGCCTTTGGGAGTGGAAGTGACAGAGGATCCTCAGCCAAGCTCAAGGGTCTGGGCCTGGCTCTTAGCACTCTGGACTCTGTATCTGAGCCTCCCGTCAGGGCAGCAGCCGTTCCGAGGGACAGGCACTTGTCCAGGGCCACACGGCTCATGTGTAGCAGAGGCAGGGTCCAGCTGGAGTGTGCCGACACCAGCCTCCTGTTCATCGCACAGGGGCTAATGTCAGTGTCTTCACTCCTTTGTGTCCACCCTTGGGCCTGTCCTCAAATCCTCGTCTGTTCCTCCCTACCCCCTGGAGTTGGGCGTGATTATGTGCTACTGTGGTCAACACACAGTGAGCAGAAGTGATCTGTTGCTTCCTATCAGGTATCACCCCCCCTGGGAGGCCCTCCTTGATGGCTGCATCCCTTCTCACTGCTACTGCTGTCTGATGAATGTCCAGAGACCAGGGACCCTACCACCCTTGTTCCTTGTCTGTCCCCTGGTGCCTGGCATAGGGGCATCTATCTGCTAAATGGAACTCCTGACAGCTGGGCTGCCCCAGCTTTGCAGGTGAGTGGGAACTAGGGTGCTTGGGTGCTGAAGAACTCTCTGGAATAAGGCATGTGATAGGCATATTGATTGACAGCTTGACTGGGTTGAGAGACTCCTAAGAGAGGGTACAGCACATACTGGGTGTGCTCTAACAGCATGCTGCCCAGAATGTGGGTGGCATCCTACCCCCCCACCCCCCGCCATGAACTGAAACCTCCAAACCAACAAACCTGTGAGCCAAACAAGTCCTGCTTCCCTGAAGCTGATTTTCTTAGGTACTTTGTCACAGGAGGATGAAAAGATTCTGACACAAACACTAGCATAGCGCAGCCAGAGGACTGAGCAGGAGTGGGTGACTGTCTGGGGACAGGGTGGGATTCATTTTCAGTATGGCTGCTCATGAGCTGGGCCTGGGGCTGGGGGCCAGAGGCAGAGCCCACGCCACCCCAGTTGGCTGGCAGACTGCCCATTCTCCATGTCTGCAGGCTTTGGTCTCCCCATGTGCTAGCTGAGGGGACCAGGGGACCTTGCAGAGCTGTGGTGACTCTGGTGGGCTTGGGGGGTGAGGGAGGGGACAGAGCCACAGCGAGATGCCACCTCACCTGTCCGAAGGCTGCGCAGGTGCCGGGCATGGCTCGTGCTGTAGTTCCAGCCAGGAATGCTGAGGATCTGCAGGTGCAGGTTTGGGGGTAGTGTCACAGCTGGGGGCTCTGGGGGTCCTGTAAGTCAGAGAAACAGGGAGGAGGGGCTTTACGACCGACGCCTCCTCCCGGCACTCAGCTTTCCACATGAGGCCCTCTGCCCCTTCCATAGCCATAGTGAGTCTGAAGCTCTAGTCCAGGGCTCCAGTTCCACTCTAACCCCCATTCACACAGGCCTCCCCGCCATGCTGCTCCCTCCACATCCAGCTGCTAGGGTTACACAGCCTAAGATGTGTAGGGACTTGAACTTACTCATCTGGCTGTTTCAAAGGCCAGAGGAGGAGGCTTGAGAGGGACACAGCTTGCTCACGCTCACACAGGCCCAGCTTTCTAGTCTGAGGGGTGCCAGCTCCCCTCTTGCTTCACCACCAATCAGTCCCCACTCAGAGGCCCTCGGACCCTTTTCCAATGCTGACTTTCACAGGTGCTGCTGCCCTTCTCACCCACCACAGGGGCTGGCCCAGACACGGGTCACTTGGCCCAAGCAGAAGCAATCATAATCCGTCCCTGGGACTACTGCACTCCAGTCTGGAAAGTCTGAGTCTCAGTTCCTTTTGCATGGTCTGTGGTTTGGATCTTCCATGGCCCTCCCCAAAGGCCCATATGCTAAAGCTTTGTCCCCACCCAGCGGGCTGGTAGAGCCTTAGGAGGTGGGACCTAGGGAGAGGACGTTAGGTCACTAGGCTGCACCCTTGGAAGGGCTGGTGGGAAGCCGCCCCTTCCTCTTCCTCTTTGCTTTCCAGCTGCTACATGGTAAACAGGTTTCTGTCCTGTGTTCCCCACCAGGAAGTACAGTGGCACCAAAGGACAACAGAAGCAAGTGACCGTGGACCGAAACCCATGAGACCACGAGCCAAAGCAAACCTTTCCTACTTTTGAGTAATGGTAGGAGACAGCTGTTCTCTGAGAACACCCCAGGAGTTGTACAGTCCTGTCCTAGTGAGGAGGGAGAGGAGGAGGCAGAGGTACAGGAGGAAAATGAGGAGGGAGAGGAGGAGGAGAAAGAGGAAGAGGAGGAGGAAAAGGAGGAGAGGAGGAAAGAGAAGGGAGGAGGGCCTGCAGTCAGCCCAGGTGAGATGAGGGACACCCTGTGGAGTTTCCAGGTCCTGAGCTTTGTGGGCCTCAGAGTAAGTTCTCCCATGGCTCAGCAGCTCAAGTGGCGTTTCCAGAGTGCACACGTGCATGTGTATATGTGCGTGGGGGCGGTGAAAGGGAGCCCCTCAGACACACTGAACTTTCCTGTGCAGCAAAGATCCTGGTCGCCTGGGGGAGCCTGTACCCTACAGGGCCATCAGATCCAGGCAATGCACAGAGTGGGGTGAGGTGGCTGGGCAGACAGGTGAGTGGAGGCCTAGGAAAACCTGCCAGGAATGCCTCCTCTCTGGAAACCCACAGCATCCTGCCACTGTTAACACTCGGTCCCCAAGGTCCCTTCCTGCTCAGTGCTGCCCAGAGCCCTGGGTGGGAGCCCTTTCCAGGCCATGGGTCTGGCTGACATATCCTGTGCGTTGGAGATGCATACTCTGAATAGGAGTCTCTTCATGGGCCAGTTCTCCGAACAACACGACGGGCCTGTGCTGCAGTGCCAGCCCATTCCTTGGGTGTAGGCTGGTAGTGACGGATCTAGGACCCAGCAGAAGCCAGAGCACAGGGTGGACAACAGAGGTGTCGTTTAGTGTAAGGTTGCAGTTTAGGTCCCAGGCCAAGTTGTTCCACAGCCGCCGATGGAGCATCACCTGCAGGAGAGTCATGCAGGAGGCCCTTCCTTGCTTGGACATAACTGTGGGTAGCCACGAGGGCCTGTGGGGGTCCAGGCCAGGCCTCTCCTACCTCCACCTGTCCATTCCCTTGGCTGGAGACGCCATGTGCCCGCTCCGTCAGCAGCACCAGCCTGCTTCTGTCATCCTCAATGAAGGCCGACTGCACCATGGGGTAGTAATTCTGGAGACACAAGTGTCACAAGCTGCAGCGTAGGGTCAGGCAGGCCACCCACCAGCCCTCCCCTAGGCAGAATGGCACTCGGGCCTCAGCTTCCTGTCTGTGGCTTCTTGGTCATGTGGCCTGGCTGATGGGGCTCTACACTCATCTTAACATCAAGTAGGACTTTTGAGAGGCTGGAGAGAAGGATGAGTGATTAAGAGCAGTGGCTGCTCTTGTAGAAGACCTAGGTTTGGTTCCCAGCACCCACACGGCAGCTAACATCCCTAACTCCAGTTACAGGGGATCTAATGCCCTCTTCTGGCCTCCATGGGCACTGAGCGCACATGGTGCACTTACATATATGCAGGCAAAACACTCTTACGTGTTAAAAAATAATAGATAAATAAATGACCTTTGACAAAGCATTTCACCAAAAAGGAACAGAGAGAAAGCCAGGTCTTGGAAATGGCACTGTCAGGGTACAGATGCGTGAGTGTATGCTTAACAGGGCCGGGAAGGGGGCTGGAGAGATGGCTCAGCAGTTAAGAGCACTGACTGCTCTTATAGAGGACCTGGGTTTGAGTCCCAGCACCCATATGGCAACTAACAGGGCCAGAAAAAGCACCCTTGGGTAGTATGTAGCTGCTACAGGTATACCCGGGCGATGGTGTTGTTCTTGAAGATCTGGTAGGGCCTACGCTGCATCTGGTAGCCATTGTTGTCTGAGTAGAGAACTTGATGGTTGTTAAGGTCACTGCTGGTCCTCAGGATGGCCTCGCGGTTCAGCTCCAAGGGGCCCACTCTGTATTCTTGCTCTATCCGTTGGCAGAGCAGTTCCCCAGCAGGCACGTGAGCGAGCCGAGAATAGACTGCATAGGTATAACTCTGGTCTGTCGTGTTCCTAGACAGTGAGCAGGAGAACTCTGTAGGGGGAGCTGAAGATGCCTTCCCTCCTGTAGGCAAGGTAGGCAGTGGGAAGCTAGCTATCTTGGGCCATGTGGACAATGGCACTACTGGACAAGTTAATCCAATGGGAGGTGTGTGGCCCCCACAGAGTTGCTTGAAACTCATCAAGGAACAAGAGCCCCTCTCCTGCGCTCTGAATTCAGCAGTTGGTATAACTGCATGGGCTTAAGCAAAAAGCATAGGCAGAAGCTAGAGTCATTCATCAAATTTCATTAACAAGGGCCTGGAGCAATGGCTCAGTGGTTAAAAGCATTGGCTATTCTTGCAGAAGACCTGGGTTCAGCTTCCAGCACCTACATGGTGGCTAACAACCGTCTGTAAATCCAGTTCCAGTTCCAGGGAATCTGACACCCTCTTTTGACCTCCATGGGCACTGCATGACACAGGTGCACTTACATACATGTAGGCAATACACTCATACACATTAAAAAAAATTAACAATCATTTGCCAGGCCCAGGCCCCAGGGCAGAGGATCTGGGAGGATTCTGTTTACTGATCCACCTGCTCTCGAGCTTTCCATGGGCTGTGGACCCACTCGGGGGAGGCACCTGTAAAAGTACTGCCGGATCTCTGTTGCCAACGTTCCCACCACCATCTCCATTTCCACGGCTTCCCAGGCAGGCTCAGCAGTCTGGTTGGGTGCGAACAGGTAGTTGTCAGAAATAGGTCCCTGCTTCACGTCCCCGTTGGCGTGGTACTCCAGGAACTCCTGGGTCATGTGCACTGTGCGGTTACTCTGTCTGCAGCGGTGAGGGAGGACATCAGTGGTGCCCTGGATAAGGTCTGACCCTGCAATTCATTTATCTACAGCACGGCTGTGGCTCTGGGTCAAGAGGGAAGAAAGCACCTGGAGGAATCTGAGAAAGTTATGAGAGGCCTTGGGGGAAGGCACAGAGCCAAGGAACTTGGGGTGGGGCCTTACAGTCCCAGAAGCTCAGGATCACAAATGAGAGGGAGGGAGGATGGACAGAGGCTGCCAGCAGAAGGCGCTCCCTGCAGAAGCAGGCCCATTCTGGTGGCCAGCAGCAGTCCAGGAGCAACACTAGCGGCAGAATGGCGTTCTGTCCCTGTGTTAGATGTCAGGGCCTTCGCTTCCTTCACCTTCCTACAATAAGCCAGTGGGTGGGAGGGTGGGAG